CAATGCATGTGGAGCAAGCTACGTTGTGTAGTCGATGTAGTGCTATATATATATGTGGTGCAATTTATGTGGTGCAATATGTGCTGTGTAACCATGTTCTGCCTTACGGAGTGCAGTATATGTAAGGCGATAGATGCGGTGCAAAGTATGCTGTGCTAACTATGTCGTGCAACCTATGTTGTGCAATGATCTATGTGGTGCAATCGATGTTGTGCAGCATACCCGTCAGACTGACATTCAGAACCAGACGACGGGCGGCGACGAGGCGGCGACGGGGACAACATAGCCGTCAGACCGCCATTCAGGCCCAGACGCTGGGCGGCGACGAGGCGGCGACGAGGCGGCGACGGCGACAACAGAGCTGCCAGACCGCCATTCAGGCCCAGACCACGGGCGGCGACGAGGCGGCGACGGGGCGGCAACGGCGACAACATAGCCGCCAGACCAGCATTCAGGGCCAGTTCCGCACAGCACAAAAAAGAACCCCTTTGTGCAAGCACTGTTTGGGTAATTGTGCGGAGATCTCGAGCGAGGGCGCGATTCCTGAATAACTTGTGAGGACGTCTTTGACAGGAACCGTTGTGGGTGTAGCCAGGGGGCCAGGGGTGCAATTTGAGCATCAAGACGTGACCTGACAAAAAACAGGGTGCGAACCCTAGAAAGGGCACTTCAATTGGAACACCACACTGGGAACCAGCGTGGGTGGTAAGGACAAAAATGAACAGTCCTCAGAAGTGGCGAATTCAAACATTTGAAGACTGTTCGCTCTCACCTGCCCGCGTGTCATTAAAACTCAAGCCCCGTTTGCCTTCGATCGTGCCCCTTTTGGGAACTGCCTTGATTTGCCGCCACGGGCAATTGGCGCGGACCCTAAAATGGGAGCGGAGGTGGCACATGAGCAGCTACAAAAGCAAAACGGGAGGAAGGGAAGTGGGAGGGAGCAGGGAAGAGGGGAGCAGGAGTGGGGGGGGGCGGAGGGAAGATGGAGGACAAGGAAGAGCGGAAAGATGGCCAGGATGAGGACGTGCAGCAGACACGGAGGCTCCCGCATCTAGCACCGCGGCAGCGCCGTGTGCAGTCGAGGTCTTGGATCCGCGGGAGGCTCCAAGACGAAGAGGGGAGAAGGAAGAGGAAGGGAGGGAAGTGCGAGAAAACGGGTGAATAGATGAAGAGATAGAGAAAGAGAGAGAGAGAGAGAGAGAGAGAGAAAGAGAGAGAGAGAGAGAATTAGAGAGGGAGGGGGGGAGGAACACAGAAAAAAAGTAAACCGAATATCTGCAACGCAAACTCCCGTCCAACGTCTATCCCTCATACGGCCTTACCAGTCGCCCTATTCCACTGAAAGAAGCGCCCCACCTTGAAAGGCCAGCACAGTTGGGCCTGCCATTACGGCGGGAACACCACGTTGGACAATAAGTCGTGCATGTGTCTGGCGCGTAGTCAGGAACGCGAAAAGAAACAATGATCAGTCCGTTCAACGAGGTGTCCAGCGATACCCCCCTTGCGAAGAAGGACCGCCCCCCAAAACCCATGAAATTCTGGGAAGTCTCACGCGACAGCTCCAGTTTGAAAAGAGCCGTCCTGGATCCGTGCAGCGCACGCGCGTTTAAGTTTCGGGTCCGTAAACTCAACGGCAGCTCAGGACAGGACCCCATGCTGAAAAGGAGCTGTCCTCCATCCTGCTAAACTTTGCACTAAAAAACAAATGCGCGCGGCGCTGCGACGAGAGCCTCGTTTTGAAACGAACCCGCCCTCCTCCCTGGAAGTGCTGCAAACTTTTGAAACGAATGTGCGCAGCGCTACAACGAGAGATACGTTATGAACATGAACCGCCCTCGACCCGCGAAACTAATGCAAGATTTTGAAAAACGAATGTGCGCAGCGCCGTTGCACGTTTCAAGTTCCAGGATCATAGATGGTGAGGAAGCATCAGGCGAAACACATGGTCCGCCCCTACTGACAAGCCTGGGGGTGCGAAGGGGAGGAATGCTAGACGCTTCGCGTATCCCCACCAGCCCATCCAGAAACGACGCCCAGGCGAGTAGAGGGTCGTCCTGAGGGGCTGTTCGGCGTCCTGGGTGCATCGGGGGGGCCTCTTTGGGCCGCTTGGGATCCTCTTGGGGGCCTCCTGGGAGCCTCTTGGGGCCTCTTGGGGCCATCTTGGGGCCTCTTGGGGCCTCCTGGGCGCTTCATGGGGCCATATTGGAGGGCATCGATCAAAGAAGAGGGGAGCTTCAATTTGGGTTCCCCCCTGAGGAGGCCAAAATGGGGCCAAAACCCTAGTAAAATTAATGATGCTGGCTTCCTCGCCGAGGCCGTTTTGGACGGCCTGACCGCTCGCGACCCCCCCCGTCCAGGTCCACGGGGAGGGGGCAGGGGGAGGGGTAAACCCCTCCCCGAAGGGGAAGAGGGAGGGGTGGAAGAGGAAACGCCCTAAACCACCGACGCCCAGAGGGCTGGTGGGATTCTTGATCAGGACATGGGGTGGAGGAGGAAGCCGAGCCGAAATCCACATGGGCCCCAACATCGCATTCCTGTCGCAGGCATCATCCGAGCGGGCGGGAGATTCAAGCGGGCGTTTTATGGCGGGCGGGACATTGGAAGCGGGCGGCCTACGGCTTTCGCGCAAGCGAGCGGACGGACCAGAACGGGAGGGTCGGGCGGCGGCCCCGAACGGGCGGGTCGGGCGGGACCGACGGGCCGACCCTCACAGGCGCATCGGGCGGGCGAATCCCAGCCCTGACGGCCAGGTCGCGCGGGCGATTATGTTGAAAGTGAGGGAGCAGTCTCAGGCGAGAGCGCGATTTCAAAGTAAAGTGTGCGGAAGTCCTGGGCGAGAGCACGGTTCTAGAGCGGCGATATTGCAAATCCGAAATAAATCATGGCAGAGTTTCAGATCGAGGTTCCTGACGGAAAATATGACGAAGTCTCAGGCGGGAGACTTTGACAGCGTGGCCTGGGGCCCAACTGCTCAATTTGAGGCTCAAGACTGTCCCCGACGAAAGCAATGTGCGAGCGTCGGAAGACAGTTCAGTTGAAAATGCATAAGCGCACAAGTGGGGGGGATCAGAAATCGCTATTCCTTGATAATGAAAGTTCGCTAAGAACACACAGAAACAATCAAACAAAAACGGTGCGTCGGCGCGAGTGCTCCCGAGCGGCGGCAGAATCGATGTGGACAGGCACGACCGTGCTGTCGCTCCTGCTGCTGTTATCCTCCTGCTGCTGCCACTGTCGCTGATGGCGCTTCGACCCCAGCTGGACGCGGCCACGCCGACGGGTCACAGCTGGGGGAGCTGTGTTCTTCACCGAAGACAGAGCCAAGACGAGGAAAAAATCGGGAGCAAGTAGATCGAGAATCTCTGAGATCCGGCGGCTCTGGAGGATGTCTCGGGCGCCGCGGCCTTCTCAGAGCGTTCCAGAACTGAGAGCGTTCTGGAACGGTCTGAACGGTGTTATCCTCGTCCTAGCCCCGCCCGATTACCTCTCTGGGGGACTCCATTGATTGTATCGACGATCTCTCGAGGGGGTCGTCGAAGCTAATGGATCCCCCAGGGGGGAAGGACCCTAGCCACGCCGGATGTGCTTGACCTGCCACCGCGCACTCGCTCAGGTCGGAGTGAGGGGGCTCGAAGAGGTGGTTCTCAGGCATCACGGAGAGAGAACGACTGAGTCGGCGGCGAGCGAGGAGGGGAAGTAAGAAGAAGGCCTTCTGAGAAGGCGGCGGGGCTTCGCAGAAGACTTCCAGCCTTGTGAGAAGTTTTCTGTGCCGTCGGGGAAGGCTTAGAACACTTCTCAGAAGGCTGGGGGACTTCCGAGCCTTCTGAGAAGGCTCACCGCCGAGAGATGGGGCAAGCAGAGGCGAGCCAGGAGGAGGACAGGGGGCTGCCTCGGCCGGGATGGCGGAGGCACCGAGGCGCCTGCTGGAGTACTGGCGGTGGCTGCGGCTGCTGTGGCCCCTGGAGGCGCAGCGTGCGCGGCCGCCATGGAGGACGAGGACGGGATGATCGACAACAGCTGGGCCGACTCCCTGCCGCACCGCATTCCGCGGCGGCGCGGCAGGCAGAAGGCCGCTGTGGCCAGGGGTGGCGCGACTGGAGATGTGACGCCTGGCGCGGCGGCGGTGCCCCCTGGGGCGCCCGCGGCTGCCTCGGCGCTTGCTGTGGCCGCTGCTCGACCTGCAGGCGCGATTGCGCCCCCCGCGGACGAGGGCGCGTCTGGCGAGCGCACGGCGCTGATCGCAGAGCTCGTGACGCTGTCCTCTGCGCCCGTGGACGTGCCCATCGACACGGCCCTCAAGCTCGATCACCTGCGACCCTCGTCTGGACGGTGCGCAGGGCGAAGTGAGAGGGATGACCCTCCTGGGCCACGCTGCCGCCTCGTGGTTGGGCCGCTGCATAGCATGCCCCAAGTGCGCAGTGGGTGATCCCAGGGGGGGGGCCCTTCCCCTTCCGTTTGCTGCACGTGTGAGCCTCTCACGGAAGCTCGGTTGCAGTACAGCGGTTGGGGCTCCATATTATATAGCCTGCTGTCGTTAGCCTCGGCTAACGACACTGCAGACGGCGCCCACCACCTCCACTCCCTCCTCCTCCGCCTCCACCTCCTCCTCCTCCTCCTCTTGCGTTCTGCACGGTCATGTGGTGGCAATATACTGGGCTTCTTCACCTCCACCACATACGACCACCACACCACAACCGCCACGGCTGCTGCTCCTCGTCACGACTACTGCTAAACTCCAGACCGCACAGCACCCAACTATCTACTGACTCCAGCCACTAAGTACGAAGTACAGCCTACCAGCTGGTAGATACTGACTGATAACCACGGCCAACACACTACCACACTGAGAACAACTAACTACGAGCCACATGCTACACGCTACACATGACTTCTTCCTAACACAAGCAACTCCTGGACTTCTCCCACCTCACTTCCCACATCCACCCCAGCCCGTCCTTCCTCTCGAACGCCGCGGGTGCCACTCTCAGCTGGCATAGGACATGGCGGCAGCCAGCTGAATGGGCTCTGTGGGCGATCGCGGCGAGGGTGTCATCTGTGGTGTCGAAGCCTGTGGCGCATCTCTTGCCCTCCTGCTCCTCCTGTTGGAAAAAACGACTGCGAGCACCTGTATAAAAAATGGTTCACTGTAACCAAACCGTTGGTCTCGTGCGAGGCCCGCGAGAGTGCACGCTGTCCATGGGAAACGGGAGGAGCAGCAGCAGCAGGAGGTTTCAAGAGGGAAGGCATCAATGTTACCCCCCATGCCTGGGCGCATCGACAACTATGATGGGTGGCTATGCTGTGAAGATGCTGCAAGGCCCACCATGCTGAAACAGAAAACTCAGATGCAGCTCCAGTGACCGTGCAAATCCCCAAACAAACAATGCCTGGCAATAAAACGTTCGATCCAGGGCAGAAACAACGAAAAATGGGAAGATATTCAGAATGTGGATTGTCAGGTCGCAACCGTCACATTGATGCGTAATGTCCAAGTGCCAGGAACGGTTTCTGGCTCGATTTAGGATTGCCAAGCACAACATTCGCGTCGATTCGCGGCGTTCAAATCCCAGGAATTGTGATGTGGGACGATTGAGGGTTCTCAGACGGCTGTCTTCCAATTGGCACTTCCCGCAATAAACAAGCAGTGCTGCAGTGATCTGTCGAGAGGGGATTTGGAGAGATGGTTGATTGCAACATCGTTAATGCGTCTTGGGCTCACACTCCTCCTCCTCCTCCTCCTCCTCCTCCTCCTCCTCCTCCTCCTCCTCATCCCTTCCCCTTCCTCCTTCCTCCTTCCCCCTCCTCGTCCTCATTGTCCCCCTCCTCTTCCTCGTCCTCCCCCTGGCCAAAGAAATGCCGCGGGAGAGGGGGCGGTCTGGGCCGTTCTCTCCGATGACGCCGACGGGAGCAGATAGCGCCGCGGGCACTCCGGGCCAGTGAGCCCGAGTGTGAGTGGGTCTGGGCGTCAGCGACCCCGAGTGTGAGTCCGAGCGTGGAAAGGCTGGCGCGACGGGCAACAGATCAGGAGCGGGCCGTCCCGCCACCACTGCTCACGGCCAGCGACCAGGTTGATGCAAGCGTCGGGCGACGGGAAGGAAGGAAGAAGAAAGCGGGAGGCAGAGAGGTCACACGAATGACAGGGATCCCCATCTCAGGATATGTGGAAGAATGCGCCAGCATTCATAAAACACAACCCCTGAGGTCTCGGGAGGAGGAGCGACTCCTGGCAGCCATCAGAAGTCTGCTGGACCCAGACAGCTCCTAAAGCTGACTTAATGGGCCCCCCTGAGGCTGCCCAGAATCCGGCCCGCCTGCAATGGCACATGCAGAAACACGAGTGCAGCTACTGGTTTATCTGAGGTCTCTGCAGGCTCAGGGGAGCGACTTCTCTTCGCCCTCGCCTGAGGTCTCTGGAGGAGGAGCGACTCCCCTTCGCCCTCCTCTGGAGGTTGCGGAGGTCTGGAGATCTCCTGGAGTCCCAGCAGACTCTGGTGGCCTCCTGGGAGACTCTGGGTATGGGGAGAAAGGGCGCTGGCATTCAGAAAACACGACGCCTGAGGTCTCGGGAGGAGGGGCGGGCCCTTCGCCCTCCCCGGGAGGCTCCAGAGGTCTGGAAGTCTCCTGGAGTCCTGGGAGGCTCTGGCGGCCTCCCGGGGCCCTTCCTGCGGCCGCCCGAGAGGCCCAGAATGCCACGACTTGGATGTAGCGTTTTGAGTGTGCCTGAACATCTCGGGGACGTCCGAGAGCATCCAAACACTGCCAAGCGCAATGAGTCGCCCAACGTCCAGAAGCACAAAACAAACCGCGAGAGTCACGAGTAGTCCATGCAGAAACGTGTAACTCGGGCAACGTTCGAGGGGCCGCAACGTCATCGACAGAAAACAAACAAAACAAAACGAATTTACTCGACGCGCAGATCCCCATATTTGCATCTGATATTGATGGCATGCCTCGGTAGAAAACATCGTCCTTTTCTACCGACGGAGGTGTCCGCAAGTATCCGGACGCGAAACGATGTGCTGGGTGGAAGAGACGCATGCGAACACCGCCACTGGGGCCTTAGGTGGAGCTCCCAATGGGGCCACGAAACGGTGTGCTTGGTGGGAGAGACGCATGCGGACACCGCCACCGCCACTGGGGCCTTAGGTGCGCACCCAAAGAGGCAAACCGCCTGAGACCTCCCCACAATCTATGCGCGAATCCTGGAGTGCCCTGACCCCTGCCGCCCCCCCCTTTGGGAGTGCTGAAACCAGCGCCTCGCCTGAAATATCCTCAGAAACGGCTCCGAAAGCAAGAGATGTTGGGCACCGAAACAGGCAGCAAACCGCCTGAGACATCCCCACAATCTGGGCGCGAATCCTGGAGTGTCCTGACCTCTGCCGCCTCCCCCTTGGGAGTGCTGAAACCAGCGCCTCGCCTGAGACACCCTCACAACGTGTGTATGGGTGAGCGCGGAAGTGGTGTGACTAACTGTGAGTGAGGAAGAGCGAATCAGAGAAGGAGTGAGTCTTAATGTGAGTGAGTCTGCGTGTGAGTGGGTCTGGGTGCGAAACATCTTCACAACGTGCGTTTGAGTCTGAGCGCGGCAGTGGTGTGGCTGAGTCTGAGCTAGGAAGAGCGAGGAGGAGTGTGAGTGAGTCTTGGTGTGAGTGAGTCTGCATATGCGTGATTCCGAACATGAGAAACCTGAGTATCAGGAATCTAAGAGTGAGTGCACCTGTGTATGAGTGTGTCTGAATGTGAGTGAGTCTACATGTGAGTGAGTCAGAGAATGATGACCTAAAGGTGGGAGGTGTGTTCTCGTTCTCCGCGCGGTCAAAGTAATAGCAAGAACCCCATCCTTAGGATATGGGGAAAAGCCAACAAACAAACACACAAACAAATACTCGTACCTATACGACGACCCTTCGAGTGACAATGAGGTTTGGGGGGGAAGAACCAACTTCTGGCAAATGCGATGGGTGTGATGATGCCGGTGCTGCTGAAGCGTCCTTCTTAGCGGCGACGTGTGATGACGATGCCGCGCTGGGATGTAATGTCACTATCATCCCCCGCCGCTGTCGACCTCACTCGATCGATCCCACCATCGACCTCACAGGATCGAACACACTCGATCCACCTCATATCAGATCTCGCTATCGATCTCACTGTAGATCTCATTGTAGATCTCACTATAGATCTCGCTTTCAATCTCACTATCGATCTCACTATCGATATCACGATCGAGCTCACAACCAATGTCACAATCAATCTCACTGACGGTCTCACTTTTGAGCTCACTATCCATCCCATTCTTGCGATCTCATCATCGATCTCACTATCGAGGTCACTATTGATACCAAAGCGGGACACCCCTGGTCACCACCCGCCCACCGCCGACGGAACAAAGACGGGACACCAACGGGACACCACAGGATACCACGGCGGAACAGGCGGAGGAGCGGTCCACTGCATCCGAATCGCCCTAGCGACGGCGGGGTCTTTCGTCTCGCGCGCCCACGCAGCTTCGCATCGCCCGCACGCACCTCACGAACACCAAACCGAAACGAATTTCCTGGTGGGGGGCTCTCCTTTCCACTGCGATCTCACTCCCCAACCTCCGATGACCAACAGTCGTGAGGAGGGAGGAGACATGCAGCACTGCGGATCCGAAGTGAGGGCCAACGCCGGAAGGGCTTGGAGCAGCGCATTCGCGGCTGGCGGCATTGCACGAAACAGCTGCGATTTTCGTGTCGGCGGCGGCGTCGTCCCCCCTGGACCTTTCCAGGGACGCGCCCTGAACACAAGTCGGAATGGGACCCAGCCCGTGGCTCGGCGGCGAGCCTGGGGGGAAGCGAGAAGGAAAAGACAGTCTCAGAAGGCTCGGAAGTCTCCCTGCCTTCTGAGAAGCTTGCTGCTGAGCCTTCCTCGAAGACGCAGAGAGCTTCTCAGAAGACGCGAGGGCTTCTGAGAAGTCCGGCCGCCTTCTGAGAAGGCCTTCTCCTTTTCATTTCCCCCCCTCGCTCGCCGCCGGGAGGCGCCTCCCAGAAACCCGAGGGCAGCTGAAAACGCTACAGAGCATCGGAACTCGCTCATCGAGCGGCGGCGCCAGCGGCGTCGGCGCCGCTGCGGCCGGCGGCAGCGGCAGCCGTAGCGGCGTCGTCGGCGTGGCAGCCGGCGGTGGCGTCCGCGGCGCCGTCGCGGCGGCCAGCGCCTGGGGGAACAGGAAAGTCCTCATACCGCGACTCCACGGCCCTCTTATTGGGACGCCGAAATGAATACAGAAAAAGTTGGCACGATGCCCAGCAACCAGTCCTGTCCAAAACAGAACGGCCGCTGTTGGGCAGGCGGCTTCTGTCTCACGCGGACAACGCCCGCGGCGGCATCGACAGCGAGCCCTTTCAAAATGGACAGGACTGCTGTCGGTCTTTGTCCCGTTCTTTCCGTACCCAATTCGCTCGTGCCGATCCTGGGGTGCGTTGCGACCAGACGTTCGACGAGAATCCAGCCGTGGGGACGAGAGCTCTCCAGGACGAGCAGCGGCAACTGTACCTGCTCCAGCTCTGGCCGGCGGCGGCGGCGCCGTCGTCGTCGCGGCGGCCAGCGGCGGAACCGTCGTCGCGAGTCGCGAGGAGCGAGAAGGCAGGAGGAGCGAGCGAAGAGCGAGCGAGGAGAGGGAAGGAGGAGCGAGGAGCGAGGCGCGACGAGGCAGGAGGAGCGGGCGAGGAGCGAGCGAGGAGCGAGCGAGGAGCGAACGGGACGGCGCCGCGGCGGCCCCCGCGCCCGCCTCAGGCGCGGCGCTCGCCGCCCCTCGCAGCACCGAGGCCGCGGCCACCGGCGCCTCAGGCGTCGGCGGCGCGGGCGGGCTGCGCGCCTGGGGGGGGCGGGCTGCTGGCGCCCCTCGCTGCTGGCGCGCCCTCGCTGCTGGCGCGCCCTCGCTGCTGGCGCGCCCTCCAGCGCTCAAACACTTCACGGGTCCAGGTGGCGTGGGCGGCTCTGCCTGGGCAAAAAAAGCTCACCGCACCACGTCCAGCGCTCCTCTCCTCGCTCCTCTCCTCGCTCCTTCTCGCTCCTCCTCTTCGTCCTCCTTCTCCTCCTCCTCCTCCTCCTCACCCTCCTCATCCTCCTCCTCACCACCACCACCACGCACCACCACCACCCACCACCACCACCCACCACCACCACCACCATCACCATCATCACCATCAGCATCATCATCACCACCATGGTCAGCATTATCACCACCTTCACCCTGGATATCAGCAACATCAGCAACAATGACAACGACAAACACAACAGCAACAACAAAACACTCAAACAACACAACACACCAACAACAACATTAACAAAAACAACAACAACAACAACAACAACAACAACAACAACAGCAGCAGCAGCAGCAGCAGCAACAACAACAACAACAACAACAACAACAACAACAACAACAACAACAACAACAGCAACAACAACGACCACAACAACAATAACAGCAACAGCACCAGCAGCGACAACCACAACAACGACAGCAACAACAACAATAACGGCAACAACAACAATAACAACAACAAAGCCACAACAACAACAATCATATTAAGACTGTTCGCTCCGATCTGCTCACGTGCCAATCAATACGTATATTCCCCAAACCTCGGTACCCGCCCTCGTCGTCTTCGATCGTACCCCCTTGGGGCATATCTTCCTTACCTGCCACGTGTACTTAGTGCAGCCCCTAAAAGAAGGAAAGAGAGGGCGGGTAGAAGGGGGAGGGAGGAGAATGGAGCACGAGAGAACTTAGCAGGAGGGGGCAAGGAACAGAAAACAAGTGGTAAGAACCAGACGGGCAGATCGGGTGGGCAGACCCATAGCGAGCAGGTCGGCAAGGTGGGCCCAGGCGACGAGGTCGAGCAGGCAAGTTGCTGAAGCGTGGGTCCTGCATGAATCGCAACGAAGTCTCGAGCGATAGCGCGATCCCGAAGTAAATCGAGAGAAAAGCCGGCGTAGGCCACGAAGGGCATAAAGTCCGAGGCCACACAGGGCAGCGACGGGGCCGCTGATGGCAGCACCGGGGCCACGAAGGGCAGCGAGGGGGCCACAAATGGTGACAGCGGGGCCACGAAGGGCATGCATATGGGGCTACGACGGGCGCGAGCGAGCGGGGGCCACGAAGGGCATTCGTATACAGGGCCACAAAGGGCGACAGCGGGGCCACTGAGGGCAGGAAGGGGCCACGAAGGGCAGCGAGGGGGCCACGAAGGGCGACAGCGGGGCTACGCACGGCATGCGTAAGGGGTCACGACGGGCGCGTGCGAGCGGGGACCACGAAGGGCATATAATGCGGGGCCATAAAGGGCAGCGACGGGCCCACTGAGGGCAGCAACGGGGCAACGAAGGGCAGCGAGCGAAGGCGACCGCCGAACCAGTGCGGGCAGCGAGGGGCATCGAAGGCGAACGAAGGGCAACGAGCGGCGACTGCAGTCATTAACGGGCTGGTCGGGCGGGCAGGCCCCGACGGGCGGGTCGAGCAGGCGGGTCGTTGAAGCGTGAGTTCTGATTGAAATGCCAAGCAATATGTTGCGGGAGCACGATTCCTGAGGGTCGAGGACTGGCATCTGAACAACTTGTGAAGAAATACAGAACGAAGCGGTTTGGTGGTAAGTTGCGAGGAGATCCAAAGCAAAAACGCGATTCTGCAATAAATTGTCAGACAGCATCAGGCGGGAGCCACGATTCGGTGGCAAATTGCCCGGAATGCCCAAGCGAGAACGCGATTCTTCAATGAATCGTGAGGAAGTGTCAAACGAGAACCGTCGTTGTTGTTGTTGTTGTTGAATTCTCATTTCTGAAGAAGAATTATTGTTGATCCCCCCCCCACCGGTGCATACAATTTTTTCTCAATCAAAGTGTGCCCCTCGACGCTCGCACCCTGTTTTTTGACAGGGAAGCTTTTCCTGCTCAAACTGAGCCCGTGGCCCCTGGGTTACAACGACAACGGTTCCCGCCTGAGACTTCCTCACAATTTAGCCAGGACCCCCGCTCCCGCCCGAGACTTCCTCGCATTTTATTAAGGAATCGCGCTCTCGCTTGGGACTTCCTTACAATCTATTGAGGAATCGCTCTCCCGGCGCTCTGGAGTCGCGCTCTCGCTGGAGACTTGCTGGCAACTTACTGAAGACTGGCCTTGCGTTGGAATTTCCTGCAATTGGCCCAAGCGCCGCGCTCCCGAGACCCAGGCACCCAGGAGTCGCGCCCGTTGTGGCCCCATGTGCATGCCCTTCGTGGCCCCGCTGTCGCAATTTGTGTTCCCCTCATTGTCCTACGTGGCCCAGATGCTACCCTCAGTGGCCCCATAGTTGCCTTCTGTGGCCCCGCATTATCTGCACTTCGTGGCCCCCGTTCGTTCGCGCTCTTCGTGGCCCCATACGCATTCCCTTCGTGTCCCCGCTGTCGCCCTTCGTGGCCTACTTCGTGCCCTTCGTGGCCCTGCTGTCGTTCTCTCTCGCTCTCGCTTTCGCTCGTCGTCGCCGTCGTCGTCGTCGCCGTCGTCTTCGACGTCGTCGTCGTCGTCGTCGTCGTCGTGGTCGGTCCCCTGTCCGTCCCTCTTGGGGTCGGGTCGACGGTCCGCGGCCGCCCCGCCGATCAACGCTGCCACTGGCCAGGCCGACGGTCCGCGGCCGCCCCGCCGCTTGCCGGGGCCCGGCCTGCAGGGAAGAAAGGTATACTCCCCAAAAGGGGTTCGATCGAAGACGAAGAGGGCGGGTATCGAGGGTTTGGGAAATACGCGTTATTGGACACTCGAGCATATAAGGGCGAACAGTCTTAAAATTATTGTTGTTGTTGTAAACCGGGGGCCAACGACACAGTGTGACCCTCAAGACTTTCCCTGACAAAAAACTGGGTGCGAGCCCCAGGAGGGGCACGTCAATGAAAAAAACAATGTGCACCAGGCGGGGGTGATCAACAATAATGGATTGTCCAGAATGACAGTTCAAAAACAACCACAACAACAACAACACCACCACCACCACCACCACCACCAACAACAACAACAACAACAACAACAACAACAACAACAACAACAACAACAACAACGACAACAACCACCACCACCACCACCACCACCACCACCAACAACAACAACAACAACAACAACAACAACAACAACAACAACAACCAACAACCAACAACAACAACAACAACAACAAGGACAACAAGGCCAACAACAACAACAACCACAACAACAACAAGGACAACAAGGACAACAACAACAACAACAACAACAACAACAACAACAACAACAACAACAACAACAACAACAACAACAACAACAACCACAACCACAGCAACAACAAGGTGAAGCTGGCTGCTGGGTGCCGTGTCCCTCGGGACCCTGCTGGCCAGCTTCCCAGAGAGGGCGAACCCGGCTGCCGGGTGCCCCGCCCCGACCCCAACCCCCCGAACAACGAACAACAGAACAACAGAACAACGCCAGGAGACTAAGCAAACAAAAAACGAAAACTGAACACATACCCTTTTGCACATCCACCGACTCTGCCCTGCATGATGCAAGAGTGCACCGGCAAGGCGATCCCTATGGAATCCCTACAGGCCCTCATGGGATCCCTATGGAATCCCTACAGGCCCTCATGGGCTCCCGATGGAATGCCTACAGACCCTCGTGGGATCCCTGTGGAATCCCTACAGACCCTCATGGGATCCCTATGGAATGCCTACAGGCCCTCATGGGATCCCTATGGAATCCCTACAGACCCTCCATGAGATCCCTATGTAATCCCTACAGACCCTCGTGGGATCCCTATGGAATCCCTACAGACCCTCATGTGACCTCTATGGAATCCCTACAGACCCTCCATGAGATCCAGATGGAATCCCTACCGACCCAAATGGGATCCCTATGGAATCCCTACAGACCCTCATGGGATCCCAATTGAATCCCTACAGACCCTCATGAGATCCCGATGGAATCCCTACAGACCCTCATGGGATCCCCATCATGGGCTCCTTATGGAATCCCTACAGACCCTCATGGGATCCCAATGGAATCCCTACCAACACGAATGGGACCCCTAAGGTAACCCCTACAGACCATCATGGGATCTCGATGGAATCCCTACAGACCCTCATGGGATCCCTATGGAATCCCTACAGACCCTCATTGGATCCCTATGGAATCCCTACAGATCCGAATGAGATCCAGATAGAATCCCTACACGCCCTCATGGGCTCCCCGCTGAATCCCTACAGACCCGCATGGGATCCCTGAATCCCTACAGACCCTCATGGGATCCCTATGGAATCCCTACAGGGGGATCCCTATGGGAGCCGCTACAGACCCTAATGGGATCCCGATGGAAGCCCTACAGACCCTCATGGGATCCCTATGGAATTCCTACAGACCCTAGTGAGATCCAGATAGAATCCCTACAGGCCCTCATGGGATCCAATGGAATCCCTACAGACCCTCATGGGATCCCGGTGGAACCCCTACAAACCCGCATGGGATCCCCCTCATGGGATCCTTATGGAATCCCTGCAGACCCTCATGGGATCCCAATGGAATCCCTACAGACCCTCATGGAATCCCGATGGAGCCCTACCGCTCCTCATGGGATTCCTTTGAAATCCTTACAGACCATTATGGGCGCCCCGCTGAATCCCTACAGGCCCTCATGGTGTCCCGATGGGAACCCCTTCAGACCCTCATGGGATCCCTACAGAATCCCTACGGGACCCTCATGGGATCCCTATGGAATCCCTACAGACCCGAATGAGATCCAGATAGAATCCCTACAGACCCTCATGGGATCCCAGTGGAATCCCTACAGACCCTCATGGAATCCCGATGGAATCCCTACA